TTTCTTTTTTTGGGGGGATTTTTATTGTTTGTTTGATGTTTGTATTGAAAATATTTATTGATTTGTATTCGCAATTTGTATGGTCTTTTAAGAAAAATGGTTGTGTGATTGATATTTGTAGTGAAAATATTCATTGATATATATTCGCACTCTATAAGGTCTTTTAAGAAAAAATATGTTGACTCATCCTTTAGATAGTTAATTTTTTTTTTAACCTCATTAGCAAATATCTCTTTGATCGTTATTTTTTCATAGATATCTAATTTAGCTTGTATCGTTTATTCTTTTTGTCTTTTAGCGTGAGTAGATAATTAACCTTATTAGCTCAAAGATCTATATATATCTAAAAGTCGATCATGTGCTCCATGCAGGGGCGGACCCACATAGAGAGGTTCGGGTGCTTGAGCACCCATTGACCCCGACGAAAACTTTATATATGCATATAGAAAATACTGGGTAATTGATATAAAACACTCGTTAGCACCCATTGTATAAAAGGCCTCATTGTTGTGTTGGTTCTGAAGGTGACTTTAAAGCTTACTGACGTTCCTCCTGCGAGGGTTCGAATCCTGGTGACAACGTTCAGGGGTGGCTCAACGTGATTAGGGGTGTAAAGCGAAATTTCAATTCGGGGCCTAAAATATAATCAAGCCTCATATACATATTTATTCAAAATTTATTTTTCTTACACTATTTAGATGAAAATTATTAGTATTTTAATATTATTTTTTAGTAATTAGTTTCAGGTAAGATTTTATCAACTCAACATTGAAAAACATCATTTTAGTGAGACAATTATTATATGAATTGTTAACATAATTATACAAGTAATAAGTTGATAAATATTAAATAGAGATAAAATTTAGAACCATAGAATTTGACGCAAGAAGTTGATGACTTGGTATACCCCATTTTAATATGATTGTAGTAATGCTTGAGACTAAAATTTAAAACGAAATAAAAAAGAATTTGTAATTCACTTTGTTCAACACTTTTCACTATTAATTCTTATTTTTAACAAAGTACAAAAGATGTTAAAGTGGGTAAATTAATATATTTTTTAAAAAAATATATACTTTTTATCATAAATAATCAATTTTTTCTATAAAAATTTTAACACATAATTTATTCTTGATAAAAATTTGGGGGCCCGAAATTTGGGGGCCTAAGGCAAAAGCCTTATTTCCCAAAGCATAGAGCCGACACTGACAACGTTTATTTTTTGGTTGAAAAAAGCAAAATTGGAATTTCTTCTTTCATAGTTATTTGATTGTTCTTTTTATATATATTTTTACGGTTGACTTCTTGCTTATATTCTTTTAAATTGTTTTTCAACTTTTTTACTTTTTGTATTTCATTTACTAACTAAACTAAAAATATTAGTAATCTTCAAGAAAGAAATTTTTTGGCTTGAGCACCCACAATCATGAAATCCTGGATCCGCCACTGATCACAACATATTACTCACATAAGAAGTTTCTGAATGAAATAAAGAAGTTGAGTACAGGTACCTACTAGCACTACACCAAAGATTATGTTTAGCGGCAATATTTAATTAATGACAATAACTTAATTGTCACTAAATATGTACTTTTAGTCTAAGTTGCTCGGACTCGGGTGCGGGTATCCGAGACGGATGCGAATCCGAGAGTCGGATTCGGCAAAATTTAAATTTTAAGATTCGGGGGTGCGAATCCGAGTATGGATACGGGTGCAGGGATTCGGCTAAAATTATTCAATTTTATAAAATATAGTAATAATAATAATAATAATAATAAATATCTTGTAAAACGGTATACTTAAAAGCATACCAATTATAGATATACAAATTTAAAAGTATAAATTAATTACTTGTTACTAATTAATTTTAAAAAAATTATAATTCCTTTTATTTATTATAAAAAAGAAATAATCATTTATATATATATATATATATATATATATATATATATATATATATATAGCCTAAGTTAAATTAGATAATAGTACAATTCATTAAAGTTCTGTGTACTGCCCTTCATCTCCCAAGAAAGCCCTTTCATCTCCCAAGAAACCCTAGCCTGCTCTTTTACTTTTCAAGAAAAAAAGCTCTCTTCTTTTTCAAGAAAAAAACTTTGAATTATTTGTTCTTTCCCATGGAGCCCTTCGCCTCCTCTCTGTTCTTGTACAAGAAAAAAGATCTGCCTGCTCTCTCTCTATTTTTGTAAGCTTTGCCTCTTCATTATTCTTTTCCATGGAGCAGCCAGACCTTGTGACAACTTCGTCGTCGTCAACTTTCGCTAGCCATGAAATTGATCTCTTCTTCCCCATTTTTTTTCTTGGCTTTGGTCAAAGTATCCGGATCGGATTGACCGAATCCGACACGCACCCCGCACCCGCGCCCGCACCAGTGTCGCGTCGAGACGGGTTCGGCAGCAAAAATAAGAGTCCGCGCAACATAGCTTTTAGTGATAATTAGCAGTAGCACTCTTTATAAATGTACAACACTGATCATGTGAAGTATGTCACTAGCAAAACAAACAAAGTTAAAATTTTGTATCAGTTAACACTCTTCTAGTAGTATTTTCCGGTTAATACATGTAGATATGGAGACCATATATATACTTGGCATGTATGGTCCAAGATAAAAGTAAAATGATTATGAGCTACTATATCATAAGGTTTCTTGCTATGATCAGTTGAGAGTGTTTGGTTGTCTCTGTTTTGCTAGCTCCTTATCAAAGGGAAATAAGTTCGATGTTGGAGCCAAGAAAACAGTGTTTATTGGATACTCAGAACACAAGGGTTATAGACTATATGATCTTGAATCTAGATAAGTTCTTGATCAGCAGAGAATCTCTGCCAGAGATGTATCTTTCAGAGAAGATATTTGTCCTTTCAAAGGGTTGCAAGGAGCGGAAGTTGTTATATTCCTGTTACTTCACCAACAGTGTGTCCCTATGATCCGCGTAGGTCAGAAGTGTCAATGTCACAACTATCCATGAGACTGTTGTTGAGCATCCAGTTGCCTCATTGGATCCAGCAGCAGAGACAGTGCCACTAGGGGAGGTGGCTCTTGAGCCAGCTCACATCACACAACAGTACCAGGAACCAATGCATGCTACAGACCTAGTGCCTACTGCTATCTTTGGACCTTAGCAGGAGGGGAGAAGGACAAATAGAGTAGTTAAACCCATTATCTTGTTGAAGGATTATGTGACCACTAAGAATCCATCTGCAGTTTCTATCTACTCAATGGTTGGTGTCCAGACCTATGATACTATGTCTCCTGCATACCAATCTTTTGTGCTGGCATTTTCTAGTTATGTAGAGCCCAAGAGTTCTAAAGAAACTGTTACAGCTACAAAATAGATTTCGACAATGTGACATCAGATTGATGCTTTACAAGAAAACAATACTCAGGAGCTAGTACGTCTGCCTGTTGGTAATATGTTATAGGGTCAAAATGGGTGTATAAGATCAAATACAAGGCAAATAGTGATGTGAAAAGATCCAAGGCTAGACTAGTGGCAAAGGATTATAATAAACAAGAGGGACTAGGCTATCATGAATACTTTTTTTCCTATGGACAAAATTGTGTCAGTTAGGATCAGCATAGCAGAAGCCAAGAACTGTGAATTGTCACATAGATGTTAGTAATGCATTCCTACAAGGAGACCTATATGAAGAGAAGAGGTATTTATTAAATTGACACAAAGCTTCCAAGTTCGGGGAGACCAGAGAATTTGCAGAATAAAGAAGTCTCTCTATGGCTTTAAACATGCCTCAAAATAGCAGAACATTAAGCTAACTAATGCACTAATAGAGGGTGGTTATCAACAGAGTGAATATGATCATTCATTTTTAATCCAGAAGACTAGTTCATACATTGTTGTTATCCTGATTTACGGGGATAATATCCTTATCACCGGGAGCAATCAGGAGTCAATTCGACAAGCAAAGGATACTCACGGTCAAGGACCTAGGCCAGTGGAGATACTTTCTTGGAATTAAAGTGTTGAGATCATCTAAAGGTGTCGTCCTCAACCAGAAGAAGTATGTGCTTGAGTTGATCTCTAAAGTTGGTTCTAGTACCTTTGAAGCTTAATAAAAAGCTCACTACTGTAGAATATGACATTCATGTGAGAATAGTTGATGATCCAAAATTAGCTTATATACCAGCTACAGATGTTGGTTCGAAAGTTGTTATATTTGACATTAATTACTAGGCAAGGCCATATGTTTCACAATGTAGGTATCCAATCAGTTCATGCAAAAACCCACATGCTCACACATAGATGTTGCACTAAGGGCGGTAAGGTTGCACTTCAAATTGTTGCTAATCCCATATTCCATGAGAGGACCAAACACATTGAGATAAATTGTTACTTTGTTAGGGAAAAATTATAGTCGGGATGGTTATACATTCTCTTAAATAATAAGTTCCTTTAAAATGACGAAATAATTTCCTTCATGGAAGTAGGTAAAACAAGATGTATAAGTGATATTCAAAGTTAATCGTCTCTTCCCCACCAACCCAACACCTCAGACCCCCACTCAATGACCATCCCACGCCCAACCCCCACTGCCCACACCATCCCACCCTCATATTGCTTTGCTAGATTACATATTAATCCTCTTATGATAATATTTATTTGCTTACTTACAGGTTTTATTTTTGCCGCTGGATGAACTACCTACTATGTGATTAGGTTCCCAACTAATAATTATACATATACCTAATGGATTTCTCAATACAAATACAAGATCTGCACAAAAGTCCACCATATGGACTCTGTGGTATCAAAGAATGGTAAGACAGCTCTCAATGAATTTGCAACTTAATCTCTCATAAGAATGTAAGAGATCAAACTATCCTTCGAAAATGTGTCAAGACAATCATCGTAGGGCCAGTGTCATGCCAACATAAACGGTAATAATTAGTCCCTTCAGAGACATCGATAAATTTGGAATAATACTGAAAAAGTTAACTTGACATACACACAAGAATGACAAGCACAAATCGAGAAATGGTCCAAATAAACGGTAACAAGTATTTACAAAGCAAGAAAGGTTTGGTAAAATCAGCAGGTCATTTGCTGGTCAAAATTGCATTTACATCAACATCAGAGTGGAGAGAACTGTCAAGATGACCCAAAAAGATAATAACTCATGTCACCACAAATAGAAACAAACCGTGATGCATGCCATAATGCCTCCTAATATATAAAGTCTATCTAACCTGCTCTCATTTCTCATTTTTTCTTCCCGTAGCTCACTTTGCACCTTCGAGTACAGTTGACATGATTCAAGCGCCTCGTCATAATTCTTGCTCCGTTTACAGCTCAACGCTTCCTTGAGGACAAGCAAACTGTTTCTACCATTTAGATGTGCACCTTCCATGTCGCCCACTTGCATGCTTAGTTCTGTCAGTTTGAGAGTTGTCGGCACACCTCCCTCTTCTGTATAGATCACTCTGAATTTCATAAGGACGATACACTCCACAGCTTGACAAGGAAGAATGTCCTTGGCAGGGAGAACTGAACCGAAGCGAAGCAGGAAGTCCTCATCTGTTGGCCAGTGTCTTTGGCCTCCAAGGGGACTCCAGCTTGAGAGATTAGCAGCTTGTTTTATTTTGGTATTCACAACAATCCAACTAAGGCGTATTCCATCCCTGAGCTCTTGCCAGAGCTTACCATCTTTCCTCTCTTTCTCCATAGATGTAATTGGAGGCAAACCATCAGAAACTGATAGAGTAACTTCACCTGCATGTTCATCATCTCTAGTAGAGTACGTGAAAAGATCGATTCGAAATGGACAGCTGTAAAACCAATGTGGGAACCCATTTGCATTAGGAATGCCCCAAAGGACTTTCGAGCATATTGTTTTATCCTTGTATCTTACATCGACTATAGAGACAAAATCTGATGGAGCAACAATTTCAATTTCATCCATGTCACCATAATATTCAGCTTCAGTCAATTCTTCAGGATACTCGAGATATTCATTCCATCGACATTCAGGCACTTCCTTGTTCACGATAAGGGGGAAGCAATCAGCATAGAATTTTTTAAATCCACCAATAGAAGATATTAAACTTTTGACGTCATCCCTGTTGGTTGAAGGCCACATGGAAGAACATACATTTTCCCAAAGCTTCTCTTCCTTGGAAATCGAGCAGAATGCTTCACAGGCACAGGCGGCACTAGCCAAAGTTGCACCATCAAGACGCCTAAGTATGTCGTAGAACAGATCACTACTTAAGGATCCCTTGCTTTCAGCTGATGTAACTGATGTGGCCATAATTCTCAGGTCATCTGAAATAAAACCAGATACCGAAGATTAAACAGTGACAAAGGTAGGCGAGCCAATTCATAACCAGGAAACAGTATCTGCCATCTCAACGCCAAAGGTAGTCCATCCCGGCTCATACTTCTAAAGGTAGAGACATCTCCAACTTGATTTTTATTTTTTTATTTTTTTTGGATTCGCAAAGGTACAATTTCATTGATGAAGCAGCAGTAAGATGGTGCTGAATATGAACAGCAAAAAACACAAGAATACATTCCTTACTTCTGAAGAGAGCTAATAAAATCTAAATTCCTATGAACACCATAACGAAAGCAAAAGAATACACAATTAAACTTGATTTTGCTAATCTGCTCTTTCCTTTTCTCAAAACATCGTAAATTCATTTATTTCCAAATTGTCCACTATATACAAGGCATTATGGTTTCCCATGTTTTCCTTGGCTATTCAGCAGTTATTTTGAAAATACAGGGAGAAGCTACGTCCACGGGTTATCAAGAAAAAGAAAGGGCACATGCATCCTAGAACATATATTAGAGGAAACTACTATTTCAACTGCCTTTGACTTCCCACTTCCAGTATATTTGTGCATCAAAAGTAGACAATATGTATTAAAAATGATCCATGAAGCTTTTCACTTATTCAATTAGATTAGAAATAGCTGATGTACCTTGCTAGCTTACCAGAAGCTCAAGATAGAGCAACTTTTATGAAGGTTTAATCTAGGATGCAATACAATACTCCAGACATGTATGTGGTTTCGTAAACAATATGAAAATCTAAGAAGACAACAGTACTTGAGACTCTAATATAAATGTAATTTCACAAGTTTTACTTCAAATCCTGTTAACCACTCGAGTAATCTTACATAGGACGAAATAAGCTCCGAAGAAAAGATGGCTGGTTACATAAAATTTTAGATTACTTTCCTCTTTCTTCTTGCGCGAAACAATGTCCATTTTCTTGAAAAGTATAGTTCTTGATACTTAACAATAGAATTACAGGGGACCAAATTGGGTGTTTCTAAAACTAGGGATTAATTTCGATTCTTAAAAATGCACAACCATAGCTGTTGGGATCCTATGAAGCACCATACTGAAGTTCGATACAAACACCCAACCGTATGTACCTTATAACAAATCGATGTGTGTATTTCATCTGTATCTTAAAATTCTGGCAGGCAGTATTCTATTACTTATATGAGATGTTTGTGATTCTGAAGTTTCTTGAGTAACATAGTATTCATATTGGATCATGCTGCGACAATGCTGATATAGATACTGAAAGAAAGCAATAAATTTAGTTCAAAGGTTTTTGGTTCCTATTGGTCATAATTCCTACTAATATATCTTGACCTCGTCCACATTAATCTTTGTCAAAAAGGTGTTTAAGTGAGCTATCAATAAGGCATGGTTGGTTATCCACAACAAGTTCATTTCAATTTCTTTTTTTTTAGTTATGACATGTATCTTAAGATAACTTATGATATATTACAAGATTCACAGTATTGACAACTATGATTTTGCCAAATGAGTAACACAGCACAGGTAAACAGGAAACATCCATAAAATTCCATTATTTGCACTAAGTTTTATCAAAAGCAAAAAGAGCAAAAAAGTTCTAAGGTCCACTGGGGCTTTAAGCGCAAAGCACAAATAAATTGTGGGCTTTAATGAAAAAAGGTGCAAAGGGAGAAAAATACGTATATATATATATATATATATACACAGTTAGTCCAAGACTAATAAGTTATAAGCATGAATGACAAATATATAAATAAAGAAATTGAAAAATAATTACTATAAAGTGAAATATCAATTGTTTAGTGTCGCCTCTTCAGCAGAGGTTCATTGGCAAGGAAAAGTATGCCTTATAACCTTGATGACGATACAAAACTGCACATTAAGCTAGGCGAATCGCTCAACACGTTTTGATCCTTGCTTCAGGACTTAAGCGCAGCTTTGACAACACTATCTGCACTTTCTTTCTTAAAAATTCTCCTTCATGTTATGAAACCCATATTCTAACATTTTGACATTGTAAATTATTTGCAATGCCCAAACAAACCCCCTGAACATCATAACCCTAAGAAACCCACGAACCTCTAGAATCCACATATTACCATACCTTTGAAATAACATGTTGGCTAAAAATAGTACATCATCAAAGAAGAGAGCGAACGAGCAAGCGAGAGAGAGAGAGAGAGAGAGATTTTGTACGCCTTTCGGTTTCAAAATCATTAAATCATCCTAAAAGGCAAAATATTTTATGGTCCTACATTGTTAATTTCTAACCAAAATAAAAAAGCACTAAAAGCGATCATTTTACCCTTCAGAGTAGAAGAGAAAATTTCCTATTCTCACTATTATGATCTTAGGGTAAAGGCCTAGGAGCTTGATTGGCCTTCTAGGGTATCCAGATCCTCTTGTGCTATAAGGATGTTACACACTCATGATCAAATCTTGCATGAACCAATCAGGCACCTTTTGTTTCAAAATCAACATTCGCAATTACAATTGAAGGTTACATCAAATGTAAATTCCTACATGTTAGTTGTGACAATTGCAGCTTAATTGACACTGTAACTGGTATCTGACTCCCCTTAGTTCGATATACGATTGGCAATTTTTTTGATAAGTCGGATTGGTAATTATAATAGAAGGGGACTCTATGCTAACATTCCGTGGATGAACTACGGTAGGCTAAACAACCTGTTCCCACCAGCCTTCTCGCGTGAATTTAGGATATGATCTTTACTGGCTTAGGCCTGTACACACCTTCCCACTGTAGTTTATCTCTACCCGGGATCTCTAGAGTTACCGTCTTAGAATTACAATTCAAAACAGCATGATAGGGAGACAGCCAAAACAAAAAAAAATAGAAGGTTATCTCTAATACAAATAGCAATACATTAGTATTCCTTGAGCAAAAGTTAATTGATATAAATGATGCTGCACTTTTAGCTATGGCAATCCAATTCCACTCACATTTCGTAAGATGGTATAAGAAAAGGAATTTCAATGCTTGACCTCAATGTTGATTAGAGTAAAACATTTTCGTTTTTCACACTAATCTCAGGGAAACTCTTATTATTTTGTTTTCCTCTACTTCAAACTCTCTTTGACAGCTAGAAACTCCTGAAATGAAGTACCTCTCAACAACTTAAAACTTGGCTGAGAACTGGGTACAACTTTGGTCAAAAGCTGACATAATTTCAAGGCTTCTGGCTGGTTAATAAATATACTAGATCCCCAAGTTTTAGACAGTGAAGGAAATCTTGGTTTCCAAAATTTCTTATTCTTCACGATACCAGCCAGTCATAAGCTAACGAGTAGCAATATCTGTCCATTTCATTCTGACTCAAGTAAATGAAGGAAGATCTGTAGCAGTCCCACAAGGTAAGGAATTTTATAGCCAAATCTCAAGATATTATATGCTGACTACCTGCTAAATCAAAATCTTTGCCGCTGAGAATAATCACAGTCAGGGAAAGGAGAGATTTTGATTCATTTTTTCTGAAGTTCCAATTTCCACCACGGCCACCCAAGCCCCAACATTATTCTCTCCACTTCCACTTCTAATTTTCTGCTCTTTTTTTCTCTTATTAAGAGCATTATCATACGCCCTTCTTGAATAGTTTGTGCAAAACCTTAGGGGCAGATGGCGACAACTTATGTTCTACTATCCTAATCTAGAACTAGGAACATGGTTGCAAACTCACTATAATCAGTGCTAAGCCAAAACCACTTGCGACTATGAAGTCATGATATAGTCCAACATTATAAGATAGAGAAATTGAGCTACATATGGTCATATTTGCAAGGAAAAAAGTTAATTTGCTGTCTAAATTGTTCAATAATTAACAGCTGCCTTGCTACAGAAAACAAAGTAGAAAATATATCAAATCCTCAATGGCAAAGGCTTTCTCACATGTCACAACAAACCCCCAAAACTCGTTGCTAAATTGAGCCTGAATATGAAATCAAGTTTAAATAAATCTAAATGCCAAACTCCTTTCTGTTCCACATGTCTGAAGGAAAACAGAACTATCAGCACAAACACCTCTTCCTCACTCCCACCCCAATCCGCATTTTTCTTCTCCCCCCCCCCCACCCAGTAATACGGTATTATTAATACCAAAAATCTCCTAAAAACATGTAAAAGGAATAACGTACCATGACAAGGTTTAAACAAACCATTTACAATATTGTTTAGTTGCAGAATTTGGAAGCACTTAGGGTCTGTTCAGTATGGAGCAAAACATTCCCAATTTTCCCTTGTTCAGTTGGTCAAAAATTCTCTAGGAAAACAAGTTCCACAAGAGGCATTCCAAGTTGATTATGTCCTCCCCACCCTCAACACACCTCATCTTCACCCCCACCCTACAGCCTCCATCCTCACCACCCCGCACCCTCCTAACCACCATCCTTTGATAGTATTTGTCTAGATTATATACAAATGTTTTTAGAATAATTTTTTACTTACACACCGAACACAAAAAAAAATAAAAAAAATAAGAAACCCACCTATTTTCCTAAAAATTGTAACGATCACACCCCTTAGCGCCAGATAGGACCCTTCAAGTTCTCAACATCATAGAAGCATTCTAGAGAAGAAAAAAAGCTGCAACTTTTAACCAATTTCTCAATCAAATGCCTTTGTAGGTTCTATAACGAACAAAACTAAACAAAATAACAAAGGAATTCACCAAGTTCAGCAACATACAGATTTTTCCACCAACAAATTAACCAAAAATCATACAACTACAAATTATCCCAAGTAAAATAGCACAAAAACACGAAAAACAAAAACAAAATTGAAGATCAAACAAACCTGGAAACTGGAGAGCTGAGCTCACCAATCTGCTGATTTTCTGCTAGAAATACAAGTGAAAAGGAGGAAAAAGAAAATATCTTGGGCAAATTTCCAGTTCTGTCAAGTGGGGTAGTACTGAAAAATTGAAATTCAAAAGAAGAAAGAGATATTTGGTACTATAAATTGAAGAGAAAGGGGCAAAGAGGGGTTCAGGAGTCACTTTCTTTAAAGTTTAATAAAATATTTATTGTAATTA